GTTTCCGGGGGAAACCGCTGATTTCCGCTGCCGAAGGAGGCGGCGCCGGCCGCATTATGGGGAGGGCACCTCTCCCGATCCATGGATTTGGCGACCGCGCGCCTAATCCATGGATCGCTAATCCATATTTGCGCGCTCCCGACGTTTGCCCGTCCGCACGTCGGTCGGTTGGATCGGTTGGTTTGCTGAGGGCTGCATCCGTGGTTGGCACTTCAGCAGCTCGAATAATTAGCTGGTCGCGTGGCTGGCTGGCAGGCTGGTCTGCGGGTCGGCTGGCAAGCTGGTCGGCGGTTCGGCTGGTTGGATGGTCGGCTGGTTTGTCGGCCGGTTCTCTCGGATAGCGTAGAAAGGGTGGTTGTGCGCGCATAATCATGATGCACACACACATATATATACACACATGTGTATACACAGATTGGCTGGACGAGCGCAGATCCATGGTTTTGACTAGGGATCGCTGTCTCGGGAGCGCAGGTATCCACATCCATTCCAAACTGTTTTCTGCGAGCGCATTGTGGACTTGGTATTGCGGATCGATTGTTTTTCTCGCCAAGGGGTGTCGCAGGCCACCCGGTATTTCCGAGCTCATCGAGTGTGCCTCCCTTGTGCTCCTTTCGCGTCGGAAACTCTCGATGCTTCGCGCATCTCCACCAGCCCATCCAGAGACGATGCCCAGGCCAGTTGCCTTGATCAGAGAATCAGCCTGAACATGCCCAGGAGTGGAGTTGTTGAGCCTGCCGTCGAAGAAGGAGGATGCTGCAGAGCAGACTTGGAGAGTGAGGGCGGGGACCGGATTCGACGCTTCCTTTTCCAGGCCGGGGACCACCAGCGAAAGGAGCGGGCGTGGACCCCACGATTGCGTGGCAGGCCGAGGCGTGGACCTGCCCAGAACCGCCCCTCACGCCAACCTCTGTACGTTGAAGTCAGGCACGTCCCTCTGCAGGAGGAATATCCACAAATAGTGAACAAAATCGTCGGGGGGCTATTTTTTCAGCATCTTCTGGCTATGCTTGAATATCTTTGGGCCAGCTTGAGTTTTTCATCAAAAATCGGCCTGTGGGGGGGCAGGCCCGACCTACGTGTACGTGCTGGCCCCCCCCCCCCGCCGGCCTGGGTCTCTGCCCGTCCCGCTCGCGACCGGCGCCCGCCCGTGCCGCACGCCCGCGTGCCACCAGGGGGGAGGAGGGCTTCCGGCCGTGCGAGCCTCCGTCCCGGGGGGTGCTCTGACCAGGCTTAAGTCGGGCCTGTCCCCCTACAGGGGGATTTTCGACGAAAAATAAAAAAAGAGAACTCCAAAATAACCAAAAATAGTAAAGAAATAGTATGGGGATTATTTTTGGTGTACTTTTTCCCCTTTTTGAAGTATTTCGGGGGTATTTCTAATCTTTCCTCGAACATCCCTCTGTAGGGGGACAGGCCCGGCATAAGACCAGGCACGTCGAGGCGACTCCCGCAGTGGCGACGAGGGCCTCCCCGGAGTCCCACACAGGCGAAGACGCAGGCGAGGCGAAGGCGGCGGCATCGGCACCTGAGAGCAGAGACCGGGGCGTCTTGCGCAGCGTTGGGCGGCGCCGCTGTCGAGCTCACGGGCGGGCCTCGAGACGGGCAGCGCCCGCGCATGCGCGACATGCGGGCGCGGGCGCGGCCGCGCCCAGCACTTCAGGCGCGCCGTCTGTTCCGGCGCGCGGCCTTCTGTCTTCGGGAGGGCGCCCAGCGTCGCCTCGGACGCGGTGGGTCTGCCGCTGGTTTTCCGCGGTGTCGGCTGCGTCTGCTTAGGCGCGGGATGCAGGGCCTTCCGTGGGTCGCCTTGGTGTCGGCTTCGTTCCTTGGGGCGCGTCGAGAACAGACGGCGAGGCGACATGTAAACGAGGCCAACCACGAGCCTGATCGTCTTCGTCATTCTCAGATGGGGATGGGGCCTGGCGGGGTTCGAGTACCTGGGGGCTGCGAGCTGCGAAACTGTCGCCCCTTTCGTGGGGTGCCCGGGGGTGCAGCATAGTGCGGGCCTACGCGGACCTGAGTTAGACCTCGCCTTCCCCAGGTCGCTGCGAACTGCGACGCGTTCGTGGGTTCTTTGCAGGTCCATTGTAGTGGTGGCCTACGAGGATCTTGCTTTGTATGTAACGCGTCGCGTATCTCGACCAGCCCATCCAATCACGATGCCCCGCGGTGATTCACTGAACGGGGGAGCGTGGCGCAGTTGGAGGAATCTGGGGCCTGTGTGGGCCAGAGGCCCTTTGGATTCTTTTTTCTTCTGGAGGTGTCTCTCGAGGGCCTCTCAGAGGCACCTCGGGACGTCTTGTGGGCCTCTTGTCAGTTCTTGGGGGGTCTTGTGGAGTGTCGTGGGTGCCTCTGGAGGGGGGGGGCTCTTGGGGTCTGTTGGGGGCCTTGTGGGGGCCTCTCGGGGCTCTCTGGAGGGCGTTTCGGGCCGTCTTGGGATCATCTGGGAGGCTATCGATTCAGGAAGGGGGGGTACTTCAGCAGAGCCCTCCCCAAGGGACCGGCACCGGTCCACAGTCTGAGGAGCCTCAGCCGTGCTTGCCGTCTCGCCGAGGCCGCCTTGGACGCTCCCATCGGTGGCGACGCGCCACGCCCCGTCCAGACCCCCGGGGGATGGGGGGCAGTGGGCGCGGTGAGCCCCTCCCCGCGGGGGAGGACGGGCCTGGACGAGAGAACGCCCCGCGCCACCTACGCCCCGAAGGGCAGGTCGGATTGCAGCGGAGGCCCATGCCGAAGCACCCTGCTTGCCTCCAGGGTGCCCTGGGCTTCTTGGCATTCGATGGTTCTGCTGTGGAGAGCGCGACGTTCCCACACCAAGAGCCCATGGGCGTCCTGGGGCTCAGAATGGGGTTTCTTGTGGAAGGTTTCTTGTGGTCGGGCCCGTACTGTAGACCTCCCCATCCCCTTGGGGGCTTTGCACTGCGAAACTGTCGCCACTTTCGTGGGCTCCTGCGGGGCCCCGCGCAGTGCGGGGCAGCGCAGACTCGACTCCGACATCGCCGTCTCCGGGGGCTGCGAATTGCGAAGCTGGTGCCTCTCTCGGAGGGTTCCTGGGGGTCGAGCGTCGTGGAGGTTGTCCGGGCTTGAACTCGTGATCGTTTTCTTATTCATTGTTTTGCCGATCGGCGCGGGCCCTCGCCCCCCCCCCCCCCCTTCACCCCCCACGGAGTAGATCTTGGGTGTTTTGGGGCGCCTGTTTCGGGCCGGCGGAGGCTCCCCCAGAGGACGCACTGTTGCAAACAGTCGCATCGAGCAGAGGTCCGGAGCCAGACCCCCCCTCTCCCCCCCCCTTCCACCAATGCTGAAACGCCGAACGTATTTGTCGCTGAGGGAGCTGCGAACTGCGAGTCTATTGCCCTCCTTTCCGTGCGCTCCAGTGCGGGGCTACCCAAACCAGAATTAGCCCTCGCCGTCGCTGGGGGCTGCGAGCTGCCAGACAATCGCACCTTTCGTGCGCTCCTGGGGGGTTCAGCGCGCGGGGCTGCTCAGGTTCAAATAAGACCTCGTCGTTCCTCCTGGGCGTGCGAGCTGCGGGACTGTCGCCACCTTCGTGCTTCTAGGAGGTCCGGCGGAGTGGCATTCTATGCGGACCCAGACCCAGATTAGACACCTCGCCGTCCCCGTGATCTCACTTTGCTGCGAGCCCTACTTCTTCCTTCCCTTCCCGCTTGTGCTCACTGTGTGCCACCTTCCTCTATCTGTTCCCCCCCCCCGCCTCTATTCTCAGGAGGGAACGAAACACATGGACACAATTCATCGTCGACTCCCAGGAAACATGGGAAAACATGGGAAGTGGGGGGGGGAAGACGGAAATATGGGCATATGGGTGTTTGTGTATATCTATTTGCCTGTCCCTGGGCCCCTTCAGCCTGTCCCTGGGCCCCTTCATTTCTTCACCTTCCCCCTGGCCCTCCCACGCCCGAGCGGGTCGTGCAGCGCGCGGGCTAGCAACCCGGCTGCGGGAGCAGCGTGCGCTCCTCGCCACGCTCTCAGCCGTGGGCCCGTTGGGTGGTCACGTTGTCGAGTCCTCCTCCTCCCCCTCCTCCTCCTCCTCCTCCTCCTCCTCCTCCTCCTCCTCCTCTCTCCTCCTCCTCCTCCTCCCTCTTCTCCTCCTCCTCTCCTCCTCTTGCTCCGCCTCCTCCTCCTCCTTCTCCTCCTCCTCCTCCTCCTCCTCCTCCTCCTCCTCCTCCTCCTCCCCCTCTCCCTCCCCCTCCTCCTCGGTGGGCCCGTTGCTCAGGTCACTCGCTGAAGATCGTTTTCGACTAGCCGTGAGAGTGACCTTTCGCCGGAGTGACCTTTGGTGCGGGCCCAGTGGGGCCCCCCGATCGCCGAGCGCGGTGCGACGTTTAGCGTCCTGCGCGCTTGTGTGTTGGTCCCCCCGCGGTCTCCCAAAAAGCTGCGCACCAAAGGTCACTCTTACCCAGGGTCACTCGTGCGTGTAGCCGATGGTTGGGTACGTCGCAGGGTCACGCTTCCATACATTATGGACGTTTTTGTTGGCCTCTTGGGGTCCTCTCGAGGAGGTTCCGTGGCCAAGTGGAGCCGCATCGGGGCGGTCTTGGGGCCTCTTTGAGGCATGCTGGAAGCGACATTGAGCTGTCTTGGGCGATGTACTGCCATCCTGCAAGCCATCTTGTGCTATCCAACGCCACCTTGGACGCTTGAACGCTTCGGGCCTCCCCGTTCAGACTCAGGGGGGGCATGTGGAGGAGTAAAGCCCTCCCCGACGGGGCAGAAGGGGGTCGGAAGAGGAAGCTCCTCACACCTCCGCCCATGCGGCTGGTGGGATTCTTGCCAACCTCTTCACGGTGACGAGTGTTTCCAAGAGGCCGATCTCTTATTGCGAGGCTAGCTCTTCCGTCTCCATGCCCACTCACATTACGTGCTCAGCGCCTCGCCGGCGAACTGTCGCGCACGTGGGTTCATCCTCGCTCGCTTGGCCCGTCCTTGCAGATCTCCCCACGCCACCCTCTGGGGGAATCCCCCCTGCCCGAGCCGAGGTCAACGAGTGGTACCTCTTCCACGGATGCCACGAGAAGGCCGCCCACAGCATCTCTACCCACGACTTCAAGATCAGTGCGGGCCTCAGGGCCAGATCGGAGCTCGAGGAGGAGGAGGAGGAGGAGGAGGAGGAGGAGGAGGAGGAGGAGGTGAGGAGGGGAGGAGGAGAGGAGGAGGAGGAGGAGGACGAGGAAGAGAGAGGGAGGAGGAGGAGGAGGAGGAGGAGGAGGAGGAGGAGGAGGAGGAGGAGGAGGAGGAGGAGGGAGGAGGAGGATTAACGACCCTGCTTCTGACTTTCTTCGTCTCCTGCGGTGCGTGGCGCTCCGCCGGACAGGGGCCGTGGGCAGAGCGGTGGGGAGCTGGGGCCTGCTCGTGGCACCTCGCGGACGAGGCGGGCGGGGGGGAGAGAAGGAGGAGGAGGAGGAGGAGGAGGAGGAGGAGGAGGAGGAGGAGGAGGAGGAGGAGGAGGAGGAGGAGGAGGAGGGAGGCTGCTTCCTGGCAGGCGCGCCCTGCTGTGGCCTGCCGCCGCCGCGGGGCGAGCGAGCCGGGCGCACGGCCTCTCGGGAGGGCGCGGGGGCCCCTCGGAGGACCTCGGGGCCCGTCGTGAGGCTCGGGCGCCTCCTGCTCTGGACGAGTCTTTCCCGGTGGCGTGCGGGCGATCCAAAAGCGCGTCGCGCGTCCCCGCCAGCCCAGGCGGCGACCGGCGTCGCGCTGCTCGTTTGCACAGCGGCGTGGTGTTCAGCATCGCTCGGGCGTGTGCGCTTCCTTGTTCGGCGAGGGCCATCGAAGAGCACCCTGCACCCGACTGCAGGAAACAGAGGCAAGAAGCGGAGCAGTGCACGAGAAATGGACTTCCGAGCGACGGCAAAAGTATAGGGTGCACTGGCCTTGCCTGGTATGGGCAGGTCTCGTCTGGCCGCGTGCAGCTTAGTATGGTGTGGTCAGGTGTTGTGTCAATTGGTCCGGCTGTGCCTGGCCGGCTTTGGCTCGTTCGGTACGGAACATGATACCATATGGTTCTGGAAATCTGGAATTGAGCATTCAAGTGGCTCCTCCTCTTATTATTTGTTTCCTGTTTGTACTCTTCATGTGCCTCCGCTTCGCTTGTTATCCTGCTTTTCCTTCCTCTCCTATTATCCCTTGCCTTCCCTGTGCCTCCTCATCAATGATGCCTACCGCGTGCCGCTTATGTGTCCCCATACACTGCCGGACATAACTGCGGACACATGTACTAGCCTTTCCCGCTTCGGCTTGGCCTTGTCCTGAGAGGTATATGCTCTGGTCAGTTCTTGTGGTCCAGCTTGGTATCACGTGGTCTATCACGGTAGGGTGTGTGTGTGTGTATGAGTGTGTGTGTGTGTGTATGAGTGTAATGTGGTATGGTCCGCTCTGGTCAGGCGGGAGGAGAAGTAAGAGGAGCGGGAGGAACAGGAGACAGAGTCATGCAATGCTGGAAGTAGTGTTGCGCATTCCTTGATGCCCTCCCGAGGACCCCCTGGAGCCCGCTCGTTCGGTAGCAAGTCATGGGAGCCTCGGTTTACCCTCGTACTTCCGATAGTGCGCTAGCGTCGGCTAGCGTCTGGTAGTCGATGGGATAGCGCCGATTTAGCGTCGACGAGCGTCAGTTAGCAAGAGCCTGCAACCTGATTGGGAGGCTCCCATGAGTTGCCACAGAACTTTCGGACAGCTTTGGAGACTCTCGCGCACCCCTCGGGACTTTCCTCGGCCGTCTTCGGGGCCTCGTCTGACGTCTCGGCTGCTTCTTGGGGGTGTGAAGCCCTCCTGGCGTCTTTTGGATAACTTTGATAGGCATGGTTGGCTTCTGGGGTGCTTCCCTTGCCATCGTGGGCCCTCCTGGGAGCCTCTTCGGCTTTTACTGGGTGCCTGTCGGAGGCCTCTTGTGCCATTCGGCGGCCTCTTGGGATAGTCTTGAAGGCCTGAGGGCCTCCTGAGCTGTTTCAGGTCTTAGGCTGTCTCCAGGGCTTCCTAACGGTTTCCTGATCCGTCTCGGAGGCCTCTTGTGAGCGTCTTGGGGTTTTCCCCGGCGGCTGCCTTGGAAGCTTCTCAGGGGCCTTTGCGGCCATCCTGGGGGCGTCTTGGGAGCCTCCCGGGTGTTCTCGAGGCAGTCCTGGGGCACAGAGGCGGGCTGGTGCCGACCCCCCCCCCCTTTGGGGGGTCCAGCTTGGAGGTGAACGAGGCCTGCCGTCCTCGGTCTTCTGAGGAGGCCTCGACGCCCAGCGGCCCGCCGAAGTCACGGCCGCGGGGAGAGGAGGAGGGAGGAGGAGGACGAGGAGGAGGAGGAGGAGGAGGAGGAGGAGGGGGAGCAGGACGAGGAGGAGGAGGAGGAGGAGGAGGAGGGGGAGGAGGAGGAGGAGGCGGAGGAGGAGGAGGAGGAGCAGGAGGAGGGGGCCCGCAGGGCCTGGAGGAGTGCAGCCCGTGGCGCGAGCCACGCGTCGGCGGCGGGCGGCTCTCTCTCTTGCTCCTCTCCCCGGCATGGTAGTCGGCCGCCCGAGAGTTGTCACGCACTACTACGGTCGGGGGAGCGTAAGACCCGGGTTTGCCAGGACTCGGGTTCGCCATCGTTTTTTGACGACCGCGCCTCGGATTTTGACGAGGAGGAGTTTCGTGGGATGTCTGCAGCGGGAGGCCTCGTCAAAATGCAGGCTCGGCCTCGTCATTTTTTCGACGACCTCGTCGGGGATTTCCGAGTCTCCCGTACCCGGGTCTTACGTCTCCCCGATACGGAGCCATTGTAGCAAGGCGCGCGCGCTGCGGGCCAAAAAAACACACGTCGACGGCGAGCGAGGCGGGGAAGCGAGAAGGAGAGGGAGGGGGCCTTCTCAGACGGCGGCGGGGCTTCTCAGAAGGCCTCCCTTCTGAGAGGCCGTCCGTGCCTTCGGGGAATGCGCAGAAGATGTCTCCGAAGGCTGGGGGGCCTATGAGCCCTCTGGGAAGGCCCGCCCCTGCTCACTTCCTCCCTCGCCCGCCCGCCGCCGAAAACGGTGAGCGAGCGCGACAAATGCTTCAGGAGGGAAAAAGCACACAGACACAATGAAGCGTCGACTCCTATGGGAAAGTATGGGGCGTGGAGGGGGCGACAGAAGCCCAGAAGACACAGGAAAAAATATGAGGGATCTTGTTATTTGTGCTCTTCTTTATTTTTGTGTGCCCCTGGGCTGCCTGGCTCGACCCCCTGGCCTCGACCGAGGTGCTGCCATGAGGCCCGGAGGAGAGAGCCTGCCCGCGCAGGCGGCCCCGGGGCCACCCGCCGCCCCGGAGGGCGGCTGGGCGGGATGCCGAGGCGGCGTCGCGGAGCCCGGGCGCCGCCGGCTGCCCCCGGAGGGCTTCCGAGGGTGCGCCTTCGCGCGTGCTGGAGCGCGGTCGGGTGCAGGAGCAGGGCTGGGCACACTCAGACACGGACGGCACGCCGGCCCTCTCTCTCTCTCTCTCTCCCCCTCCCCCCCTGCCTTTCCTATGCGTGCCTGGGGTCCCTCCTCCCTTCTCCTCTTCCGCCGTCGCCACTTCTTCTTCCCGCCCCCCTCGCCCTCCTTGGAGCGTGGTTCTTTCTTGCTTGGGGCAGAATGGGCATTATAGCGCCCGGCCTCCCCCCCCCCACAACGTAACGCCCCTCCCCCCCCAGCGCGCTCCGGGCACTGCCGCCGTGCGCACGGCGGGGGGGAGGCGTTGCATTATACCGCCCCTTGGCCCCCCCCCCCATGATAATGCCCATTATCGCCGAAAATAAAGAAACGCGCCCTTGATTCTCCGACCGCCGCGGCTCGGGGGGCCCAAAACGGTTTGGTGACCACGCCGCGTGGTGAGTCAGTGGGGATTCGGGGTCACCGCGCGGTTCTGGAATTCGGGCCTTTCTCCGATGATGTCTCGAGTTGGCTGGGGCCTCCGAAGTCCCAAAGCCGTGCGGCGACGGCCTGCGCAGTGAGGTCGTTGAGGATTCCGAGGTCACCGCGCGGTCCGTCACCGCACGGCGTTGGGGCCCCGAAGCTGTCGTGACTCGTGGAAAGCGGGGTCTTGTGAAGTTTCGCGGGATATGCCCCTCCCCCCCCTTCCCAAGCTTATGATTGATGATGCCCGGGTGTAATGTTGGGGAGGTCGTTGCCCGAGCTCACGGAACTAGGTCATCTCTGGCAGTCTTCTTATCCCTCGCTGGGATCGGCGGGGAGAGCAATCATTGTATTCGCCGAATTTGCAGCTAGTACCGTTTGCAGTGTGCGCTTGGATTTCGGGTAGGTGATGTCGGGGGACGGCCACTGCCCAAGCAGGGTCTTCGGCGGGCACCGCACCTGCCGAGGCATGGCTGGCAACAACACTGGCACGCTCTATGGACGTGGCTCGTACTTTGCAGGAGCTTGCGCCAACTGCTTTGACGCCTCTTTTCCGACCCGTCACGAATTACATATAGCTCTTGTCGCCGTGATCATCATCGCTGTCGCCATCGTCGCTGTCGTGGCCACTCACGTCCAGTACTGCGCGGCTTCCTCTCGACTTCGCTTTGATCTTCTCTCCACCGCCCGAAATCTATCCATATCCACTGTTGTGGAGTCGTGCCCCACTTGCTTGCTGCATCTCGTGTGAAGCTTATGGGTGCAGGCAGCCATGTCCTCTAGACCTCTTGTCGCGTTAACGCAGCGCCTGGCATTTCGTCATGATCCCTCCCCCCCTCGGCGCTTGCATTAGCACCTCCGCACTGGCTCGGCTGTCCTCCCATCTCTACCCCGGCCCGCGTCCTCGTCTCTCTCTCTTCCCTCTCTCTCTCTCTCTTTCTCTTTCTCTCTCTCTATCCCTCTCTTTATATATACATATATATATATATATATATATATATATATATATATATATATTATCATACGCAACTCTCCGATGGAGTAGAGCTCAGAGGCGATTAATACGTACGCGGGGCGCCGCGTCCGCGATTGTTCTGGCCGTTTCGCTAGGGACATCCTCGACATTCTGAAAATCGGTGGGAACCCTTCACGCAGATCGTGACGTCAGGGTCCAAACACACATGGGAATTTCAACAGTTTAACATACAACTTTCAAACAACGCATGGTAATTTCAATAAGTTTGACCCCGATTCTCAGAGAATGGCGGTTTCGCCTGAAACATCCTGCCAAAATCGAGCCCCGACGTACCCTCTGGTACCCAAGACCCCGCCTCGGAGCCTCCTGGGGGCCTCCTGGAACCTCCTGAGGCCTCCTGGGGCTTTCTGAACCTTCTGGTACCCCAGACCCCGCCTCGGAGCCTCCTGGGGGTCTCCTGGAACCTCCTGGGGCCTCCTGGGGCCTCCTGCGGCCTCCTGGAGCTTCTTGGGGCCTCCTGAAGCCTCCTGGGGTCTCCTGGGGCCTCCTGAGGCCTCCCGGGGCCTCCTGGGGCCTCCTGGGGCCTCAGAACTACATGCACACACCGAGACACAAATCACGCCCAACACATCACACGCTAGACAAACATAACACACACACACAACACCTACAACGCACAAAAGGCACGCACAACACACAGCACACATCACACACGCACCCACACAACACTCACAATCCTGGGGCCTCCTGGAGCCTCTTCTGGTATCCAAGTCGGGTCTCCTGAGGCTTCCTGGGGGTCCTGGTACACACATCGCAAGGTGTGGCAACCCCACTTGCGCTCGAGTGCGACTTCGCTGTTGCATTTCACTCCTGCTTCGAACGCCCCTTCAGTTTTTTGCATGAGCCTGGGCACACACGTGCCCCTTGTATATTCTCATACGCACCTCTCCGAGGGAGTAGAGCTCAGAGGCGATTAATGTGCACGCTCCGCGTCGTTTGCGATTTTTCTGGCCGTTTCGCTAGGGACATCCTCGACATTCTGAAAATCGGTGGCACCCCTCACGCAGATCGTGACGTCAGGGTCCAAAACCACATGGGAATTTCAACACGTAGCATAAACCTTCAAAAACACATGGTAATTTCAATAATTTTGACTCCGATTCTCCGAGAATGGCGGTTTCGCTTGAGACATCCTCCCAAAATCGAGCCCCGACGTACCTTCTGGTACCCCAGACCGCCTCCTGGAACCTCCTGGGGCCTCCTGGGGCTTTCTGTACCTTCTAGTGCCCCAGACCCCGCCTCGGAGCCTCCTGGGGGTCTCCTGGAACCTCCTGGGGCCTCCTGGGGCCTCCTGCGGCCTCCTGGAGCTTCTTGGGGCCTCCTGAAGCCTCCCGGGGTCTCCTGGGGCCTCCTGAGGCTGCCCAGGGCCTCCTGGGACCTCCTAGGACCTCAGAACTACGTCCGCACACAGAGACACAAATCACACCCAACACATCACGCGCTAGACATACATAACACACACAACACCTACAGCGCACAGAAAACACGCACAACACAGAGCACTCATCACACACGCACCCACACAGCACTCACAATCCTGGAGCCTCCTGGAGCCTCTTCCGGTATCCAAGTCGGGCCTCCTGAGGCTTCCTGGGGGGCCCTGGTACACGCGTCGCAAGTTGTGGCAACCCCACTTGCGCTCGAGTGCGACCTCGCTATTGTGACGCTTACCTCGGAGAGTCACTGCCCTCGTCGATCCTCCTGCTCGATCCCCAATCCTTTGGGGGGGCTCTTACTCGATCTTAGATTCTTCTGCGTTCACCTCCTGCCTCTTCCCCTTCTCCTAGGCACGCCCTGGCGGCGCCGCCCCAGCTTTCCGTTCTCCATCTCCGATCCCGCCGTCATGGTGTCTTCTTGCTTCAAACGCCCTTTCAATTTGTTTGGTATGAGCATGGGCACACACGTGCCACCTGTATATATATATATATATATATATATATAGATATATGTGTGTACATATACATTTATATATATGTGTATATATATACATATATATATATATATAGAAGACTGCAGTGGCGCTTCGCGCCATGCACCTTGGTCCTTGAAGATTGGTATGCAAGCGGAAATGGCAGGAAGGCCGAGCGGACAATTTTGCGATAACTCTTTGCTGCCTTTTTCTGGCATCGCCGTTATAATAATGTTGTTCGGTATCCCTCCTCCATGCTTATGTTTTCTCATTCTCGCCATACCCTGGGTATTCTCCCCATCCTCTTCAGCTCTTTTTGGGGAGGCTCCTCCTTGGAGAGCCTCTGGGGGCCTCACCAAAGGTCTCAGGCTTTCTTAAAGCCTTCGTGAGGCCTCCTGCATGGGCGTGTTCTGGGGGCCTCTGGGGCTTCCTGAGGCCAACCTGCCTCTAACCGCAGTCTCCCTGAACGCCCCGGTCACGATTTGGAATGATTCGGAGGTTGTCTTGGGGCCATCTTGGGCCGCCATGGGGCTCTCTTAGGGCCATTTTGGACTCCTGTTGTGCCGTTCTGGGGCTCTCTTGGACTGCCTGGAAGCCCTTTCGGCTGGTTGCGGGGCGACTTTGGAGCCTCCCAGGCGACTTCGGACGCCCAGAAAACCGCTGTCTTGGAGCGTCGGGAAGCCGAAAAGAGGAGAACCCGAAATTCACCAAAAACCTACATTAAATTTATAATTATTCCCTCTTGGTGTCTTCTTGGGGATGCTCTTGGAGGCCTCTTGGTACGTTTTGGAGCGATCTTTCGGGGTATGACGGCTTCTTGGAGCGCTGTTGTGCTGTCTTGGGGTTCTCTGGGACGTCTCCGATGACCCCCCTGATCGCCCCAGGTGTGCTGTGAAGGCTTGGCAAAACGCCCTGCGAGGCCCGGGGGGCCGCTTCGAGGCCCGTCCGAAGGGTTCCAAAGCCCCAGATCCCGGGAGTCCGGTTTTGGGGGGGGGGGATGATGGGTTTTCCCCCCGCCCGGGCTTGTAAAAATATAGAAAGAGGAATAGATGTATACCTATACGACCACCCTGCGGGTGATAAGGAGGTTGGGGGGGGGAGGGGCCCAGCAATGGGCAACAGTGGTGATGGTTCTTCTGACGACGCACCGCTATCGTAACTCTGTTTTCCTTCCTCTTTCGAGCTCGCGCCGACATCCGAAGGCACTGCTAGCCGAAGCAGGGCAAACGGCTGGAACGCCGGCGAAAGTGCGCCTCATCTGGTCAGGGGATACGGAAGCGCTGGCGAAGCCTGGCCCCTCGTAGCGAAGCCGAAGGAAGTGCGTGACCGAAGTGGGCGCGCTCGCGGCCCCCCCGCGCGCCGAGTGCAACCGAAGCCTTGAGCCGAAATCCCTGAATGGTAAGAGAGTTGACGGGGGGCGGACCCAACGCCTCACTCAGTCGATCTCACTATCGATCTCACTATCGATATCATAATCGATCTCATTCGATCGATTTCCCAATCGATCGGACTATCGATTGCACAATCGATCTCGCTATCGATCTCCCAATCGATCTCACATTCGGTCTCACTATCGATATCACGATCGATACCACAATCGATATCACAATTGATCTCACATCCGGTCTCACTATCGAAATCACGATCGATCTCATTCGATCGATCTCACACTTGATCCGACGATCGATCTCGCAATCGATCTCACTATCGATTTCACAATGGACTATCGATCTCACTATCGATCCCACAATCGATATCACAATCGACGTCATCATCATCATCATCATCAACATAAACATCAACATCAACATCATCGACGTTATCATCACCATTAGCATCACCATCATCACCATCACCACCATCATCACCATCATCATCACCATCATCACCATCATCATCATCATCATCGTCAGCACCATCATCATCACCACCATCATCACCATCATCATCAGAGTCATCATCATCACCGTCATCATCGTCATCACCGTCATCATCGGGACGCCGACGGGGCACCGGCGCGACACCGATTTCACTATCGATCTCATTCGATCGATCTCACAATCGATATGACGATCGGTCTCACAATCGATCTCACTATCGATCTCTCATTCGGTATCATTATCGATCTCACTATCGATCTAACAGTCGATCTCGCAATCGGCGTCATCATCATCAACACCAACATCATCATCATCAACGTCACCACCATTATCACCACCATCTTCATCACCATCATCACCATCATCATTGCCATCACCATCATCATCATCATCATCACCATCATCACCATCAGCACCATCATCACCATTATCACCATCATCATCATCGTCATCATCATCGCCATCATCACCAGCATCACCATCATCATGGTCATCATCATCGTCGTCATCATCATCACCGCCATCGTCGAGACACCGACGGGACACCGGCGGGACACCGCGCGCCACCGGTTGCCGGAAGGGAATCATTTGGTCAGGCCGCGCCTCAGCCACAGCGGGACACCGGCGGGACACCGCGCGCCACCGGCTGTCGGAAGGGAATCATTTGGTGTGGCCGCGCCTCAGCCACAGGAGGCTTTCCTCTCGCCCGCCCACGCAGCTTCTCCTCGCCCGCACGCGCGGCACGCACGAACACGAAACCGAAATCGATTTCCCGGTAGGGGGGCTCTCCGTTCCACTTCGATCTCACCCCCCACCTTCCGATATGTATATATCGCTCTCGCTCTTTCTCTCTCTCTCTCTCTATCTATATCTCGCTCCTGTCTCGCCCCTGCTTCTCCTTCACCTGTGCGCACGTGCCCGGTGGCCAGGGCCCCACGCCCCCAAAAGGCAGGCTCGGCGCCCTGGCCCCCCATTGCTCTGCGCGCGAGGCGCTCCTGCAGGGGCCCCTGGCGGCCCAAAAAAATAAATAATTTTAAAAACAATTTAAACATCTCTTTCTATACATATATATGTATATATATATATATACATATGTGAAGAAATAAGCCATTAGAGCAAACATATAAAAGCTGGATCTAAAAAAACAGAGGCCCCTGGCGGCCCCCAAAGCTTCCCTTGGACGGCTCGAGACGGCCCCGGAGGCCTTCAGCCCGGCCCGACATGGTCTGAACGCCTCTCGGGGGCGGCAAAGAGGGGGGGTGATGACTAGAGGGGGGGGTGGATATCATGGCGGGGGCCATGATCGTTCCCCAGATTTCATGGCGCCGCTTCTTATTTCATTACGTCCCTGGCCCCCCCGCTGGGCCGCGCACGTGCCGCCAGTCATGATTTGCACGCCCCCCCTCTTGGGCACCCCCCTCTTGGCCGATCCCGAGCTTCGAGACCAAACTTTTTGTGATTTCCCCACGGTTTTCAGCGAGTCCCGAGCTCCCGTGTGTCCTGGCTCGTGAAACCCGACTGTGGGCCAAAGAGGCCGCGCAGGGCAGCCCAAGAGAACACCAAGATGCCCTTTCAGAGGGCTCCAAGACGGCCCACAGGAGCTGCAACACGGCTCACCAGGTCTTCAAGACGGCCCAGTGCGCCCCTGAAAGGGCCCCTTGGCAGTCCTGAGACAGGGACGCCGACGGGAGCCCATGGGCCCTCTCCCACAAGATAGCTCCATAACCCCCAAAAGACCTCCACGACAGCGTCCTGAGGCAATACATTGTGCCTTTCCTTATATCATAGGTACGGGGTTCTTGCTGTTAATGGGACGCCTCCGCCTCCAATCTCACTCCCGCCTCCTTCTCCCTCTCACCAGATCCAGGTTACACATACTGAATCCCACTCCCTCAGATCACGCATTCTCAGACTCACTCACACTCAGATGCGCTCACACTCACACTCATTAATACAAAGACATACTCATACTCAGGCTCACTCGCACTCAGGATGCTCAGACTCAGTCTCACTTAGACCAACTCATATTCAGACTCGCACATTATCAGCAAAGTCAGGTCTAGACTCATACACACCGCATTCATTCAGTCAGAGGCCCACGCTTATCGCAATGCAGCAGGTGTGGCACTTGAGCACCCCACTGGGGAGCCGCCAGTAGGTATCACAGTTGCCCTTTCGCGCCCAGTGTTGTGGGAGTGTATCAGGCGTCTCCCTTTTCAGCCCCATCGCGATGTAGCAGGCGTGGCACCTGAGCCCCCCCAAGGGAGAGCCGCCAGGGGGTATGATATTTGCCCGTTCGCGCCCAGATTGTTGGGATGTCTCAGGCGGTTTGTCCTCTTTCCCTTTCCTCCCGCTGCCTCTCCCCCCTCCTGTCTCCTCTCTCCATCCGTGGTATATTCAGCCACAGGGGGCTCATAGATCTGCACTTCTCCCTCCTTCCCAGGCCGCGAGTGTGCGCAACAGACCACCTGTGGCAGGCTGGCTTGACGGCTGCTCGAACGGGCGACTCCAGCGCATGGCTCAGCGCTGGTGCTGTCGCATAGATGTTCCGTTTTGCTGTTGGTGCTCCCTCGGATCAGCCCAAGCACCCATGTCGAGCACTGGCGACTTCGTTTGACCTTTCTCGGTCATTCCTCTCAGCCTTCCGTCTTCTCCGCAATAGTGCACGCTCCTCCTGTCCTTCTTGCCTTCCTCCTTCCGCTCGCCTGGTTGCTCCTCAAAGGGTGGCATCGGAGGGGTAAAGCACCTCCCCGCCAGAATCCTGCACCAAAGCGGACGAGTACTCCAAGCCGAACTCGCAGGACGAGTTCTGCCTGCTGCTCTGCAGGCCCACGCCGCGCCCGGGGAGGCGAGGAGGTGGTGGAGGCAAGCGCCGGATGTGGCTGCAGGAGCGCGTGTTTCGAGAGCGCGGAGGAACATTCACAGGAGATCTGTGTTAGGTCGGGCATGTCCCCCATACAGGCGGATTTGGGGCAACTAAATATATATATATATATATATATATATCCCAGAACAAATCAAAATGGTCAAACAATACACCAAACATCGTCCCCATATGTATTTCTGACCATTTTTGAATATCTCCCCTGTACAGGGACATGCCCGACTTACGATTTGTGGGCACCAGCGGGGCGGCGGGACCAGAGCAGAGCAGTGCCGCCCCATGTCCATCTACAGTCAGCACGTCACATCAGAAACATCGGCCAGCCAGCAGGTGCCCCGCGGAGTGTCGTATTCCCCGGCTGCCCCAGGGACCCATGGGCGCCCTTGGGGCGCTTTCGGGCCCTCCACAAGGAACGAAAAGCGTGCCCCAGGGTGGCTCATTCCAGGCAATGGCAAACATGGATCCAGGGGGCGTGGATTAGCGACGGGTCCCGCCGCCCAGCGAGGCGGCACCGGCTGCATTCTGGGGAGGGCACCTCCCCCGATTCATGGCTTTGGCGACCGCGCGCCAAATCCAGGGGTCGCTAATCCATGCTTGCGCGCCCCCGATCATAGCAAGCCTTCTTATCGTATGTGTCTACTGAATCATGTTTGAGGGCTTTCTGGTGTGGGTTCTGACCCATTCCTCGTGACAGCGAGGTGGCTGGCCGAGTAGAATGTGGAAGGCGTGCGTCGAGTTTCGACGTCGGGACGCGGCTAGGGGTCCCGGGACAGGCGTATAGACATGGAGGCCAGTCGGCTCTGGAGCCTCGCGCTGTTTTTTGATGGCGACAGCGCTCGTTTGTTCCTCAAACTTAGCTGTACTATTCCTACTTGCAGGCTCTTGTCGACATCATTTCTTTTGTTCCTGAGTGCGTTCCATGTCCCGTGTCTGCTCCACTCCTCCAAGATCGGTTGGCCTCTGCTGGCCTTGCATCACCAAGGTTTCGTTCACGCTTGCTCTATCGTAGTATGTGTCGCCGCTGAGAGCTGGTCTCTTGGTTGTACTCGCGAGGGCGCTGGGTGGCAACGTGCGCTACACCGCTGCCGTGACGCCCGACCCCGATGCATTGGTCAAAGATTGTATCGAAGGCCGCTGCTGAATTTTGTTCGAATCTTCGCAAAGCACAGAAGCATCATGACGAATGGGTGGATTGACTATATAGGGTCTACAGCGTAAGAATTGATAGACGAGAACGTTAGTGCGTGTACGAAGCTTGCTTGTGCAATACATGCAGGGCGATGCACGTATTGATAGTTCTTGCTTGGGCAACGTGCACTGGGCAGGATGCAGACTGGACGTCTCTGCAGCCGAGGGGGTTGGGGTTCAACAAAGAGTTGTTGTTCCCCTGTGTGGTCCCAGCTCAACCATGGTCTGACCTGCTTTGAGAGTGGATGCGTATTTCGACCTGTATGGTCATTGCTCACTCGTGCTGATACGTCACGCCTCGCCTCGCCATAGCATGTCTTCTTGCAGACAGGAGAGACTATAATCTTAAATGTTGCCTGTTCGATTTTCACTTGGCCGCCGCCGATGACGTAACGGATGACGGCGGCGGCCGCGACGATGACAGAGGTTGCTAAGCCAAATACATGGAAGATTTCGTTCCCCGCCTTGCCCCGCTCCCCCATCCAAGGTCGACCTTTGGGTGCGCAGACCCCCGAGGCGAGAGAGAAACAGTGGTAAGTCAAACTGTTTCGGGGAGGGGCATTGGCGGGGGCACAGCATATCACGTTTTTGCTATCGCAACTGGTGCTTATGATTATATGCTCGATTTGTTTGCCGTTGGGTCCCCCTCTGCTGTGTTCACCTTTGCGGTGGCCCTGAATGCCTGATGTGTTCCGCACCACTCGCTCATCCCACCAGATATGTGTTCTTGCATGTTTCTCGTAACTCATGTCAGGTAACGGATGCCCCGCCATTCTTCGCAACCTCCGAGCGATGCCCAAACATATTGTTCGATGGGGCGAGCGATACGAGTAATACCCATGACGAGAACGATAAGGAGAGGCTTCCATTTAACCCGTCGGACTCGAATACCTCGTCGCCGTCCCCACCGTCGTCCTCGTCGGCTTCGTCGTCGCCATCGCCGGCGGCGTCTCGTCACCGTCGCCGCCGCCTCCGACGGCGCCGCTGTCACCGTGGCTACTGACTTCCTTCGCAAGTCACACCTTGCATCACGAATTGCGTACCTACCACTGTCTACGTAAAGCGGTCTACACTTCCAGTGTAGCTCACTCTAGCTATAGTGCTTCGTAGCGCAAGTGAGTCGTAGCTTCCCCATGCCGCACTGACGAGACTTCAATTCCAAATTCTGGTGCAGCTGAGTTGCATGCTCCCCTGGCGATGGCTTGCAGGAGCAATGGTGTTGCTTTGCATCATAAATTACCTGCCGTTGCTGGGTTGCGACGCACTTGGCAGACCCGGGTTCTCAGACTGCAACGCGTCGAGTTACATTTCCAACGGATTGCTTGTATTGCTCATAGCTGCCAGCTTATCGACAGAGTCGATGAGCAACTTCATGATTCGAGGCTGTGCTTCCAGTGCAACAGGATGGTGCGTTTGTTGTTTGTCAGCCTAGCCTCAGTGCCTTGAGTGAAACGCATACGCGAGAATGCGACAAGAGATGGTGTCCCAACGCCAAGTCCAAACCATACCGCATAGACCCCTTTTCGTGTGATAAACAGGTTGGGAGGAGGGAGGATTGGCAACTCATTGGAGTCGTATGTGGTCCACACCTGGTGACACCTGGTAGATGTGTATATATACATAGTGCGAGAAAGATATGTATAGTTGTTTAGTTGCTGTCTCTATCTTGCCAATCACTATTCATATTTCCCTCCATTAGTACGCCCGTCCATCCAGTCTTCTGCTCACCCGCCCGTCTAACAACCCGCTTACATTTATGAATGTTCAGATTCCCCAAACAGAGCTTGCACTCAGGTGTATTCTATTTCTGCTCAAGGAAGTGGGCCTGGATGGCGGTCTGGTGGTTCCCTGGTCGCCGTCGCCGCCCCGTCGCCGCCCCGTCGCCGCCCCGTTGCCGCCCCGTTGCCGCCTAGATCTTCCTTCTTAAAAGAGTATTAGGATCTCTCCCCCCCCCGACCTTATCGGTCGGATTCCCTTCGCGTATTGCAGATATGATCTTACCTCACCGTCCGTTCTAAATACGAACTCATACCATCCCAGGCAAGCCGGCATCGCTCCCTTCATCCTCTGGAACGAATACTACGCGCGCTTGTTTATCCAAATCATCAGTCATGAAGAACCCTTGGCAACACATTCGAAGTTCACGCGCGCGCGTCGTCGCGCGCGCATGCGGCCATCCTTCCATCCTTCAAGAACCGTAGCTCACGGGTGCCACAATCGAGTGTTTCGGGAATATATATATATATATATATATATATATGTATGTATGTATGTATGTATGTATGTATCTATATATATATATGTATGTACATATACAAATAACTAAACGTATACGCAAACAAATGGTTTGTTCAAAAACAGTTTGCAAAATTGCCTGCGCTCGCGCCCTTGCGAATGCTCAAGACAACCATCGTTTCTTCAACATGTTCGTCAAATGTGGTGAACATGTTTTTTTTTCGCGCCGCATGCTGAAATCATTCGAACGCCATTGTGCGCGTTCTGGGAGGGCACGATCCGTGTCAAACAATTTCATGCGGGGCAACTCTCGCGCGTCGGCCGCGCGCGCATCCCGAACTCCTTATAACGCTTTCGTCACCGACGCGAGGACGCCGTCATCGTGGTCGGCGTGATCAGCATCGGCGCCGTAAGTGGCCTTGCCGTCATCGTTGCCATCGTCGTCGCCAGCAGCGCTAGTATCATGACCGTGTCTACCGTTGTCGACCTTGCCATGATACCGCGCCCCCCCCAAGTCGCCGACTCGCACTGAAGTGCCCGCTGGGAGGTGCCGAGCGGTCAGCGCCACCGTGGCCGCGTCGGTCGCGCCAGACTAGCTGGCCGCCTCGCGCGCGAGCATGCGCGGGCGAGCGCGCCCGCAGAGATGCACCAGCCAACGCCAAGCACTCAGCGCAATCGCCGCGCCATGGGTTATGCAAACCAAGTTGCGGTTCGGTGGGTGGGACGATTGCGCGAGCAGTGGAGTTGACATCTTCAAGTTCGGCAGGGTGACTTCTCCTCTTCTACAAGAGTGATATCGTATTCCCCCTCTCGCCCACCCGAATTAACTATCCACCTCTTTCGTGTTGCAATTTACATATGATTCTGCCACGCTGCCCATCTTAAATTTGACCTCGTACCATCCCAGGAGGGAAAATCGACCCCCGCGTGCTATGCGCACGCTCCCGCATATCAGAACTCACCAGTTTTCGCGAATCCCTTGCACAGACTGAGACGAAGTGCGCACGCGCGCGTCGTCGCTCGCAAGCCGAAATCCATGAACAAAGCGGTAGTTGCGTGAGGTTTTCAAAATCTAATGTCGCGACCACATGTAAGACACAAGACGTTCCCCCTAAAAATTAAGGGTGCGCCCGCGCTCTTGCGAATTCTTACAAAAACCATATGTGTTTTAACAGGTTCAAAAATTGCACCTTGGCCTCTCGCGCGCGCGTCGAAACCGTTCGACCGCACTTGCGCGCGTGCTGTCGCAAGAATATCATGCGCAAGAAGGGGCGAAGGACGCGCGCGCGTTGTCGCGCGCGCGTGCCGGAATCGTGGGGAAACCTCCGGCTCGTAAGGGATTCAAAAATGAGTGTCCCGAAAACATATAAAAGACACGCGGTTTCCCAACATCAGTGTTCAGACAATCTTGCGTTCGCGCTCGTGCGTTTGCTTGAGGCAACCATAGCTTTTCTTACATGTACATCAACTTCTGCCAAGCGAGCCTCTCGCGCCGCATGTCGAAGAACGCCCTTGCGCGCGTGCTGGTTGGGGGCGCGGCCCGCGTCAAAGAATACCGCGCGGCCCAATCGCGCGCGTCGCCCACGTGCGCACGTCGAAATCCTTCAAAACCTCCATCGCCGACGCGAGGACATCATCATCGTCGCCGGCGGGTGTGATCAATATCGGCGCCATCATTGGCATTGCCTCCGTGCTCGCCACCTTCGTCGCCATCGCTATCCCCATCATCGTGTCTACCGTTGTCTGTGTCGCCATGCTACCGCGCCCGCCCAAGTCACCGACTTGCACTGGAGTGCCCGCTGGGAGGTGCCCAGCGGGCAGCGCCGCCGCGGCCGCGTCGGTCGCGCCAAACACGCTGGCCGCTGCGCGCGCCGGCATGCGCGGGCTAGCGCGCCCGCAGAGATGCACTAGCCAATGTCAAGCACTCATCGCTATCGCCGCCGCATGGGTTTTGCAAATCAAGTTTCGTGTGGGTGGGTGGGATGCTTGCAAGAGCGTGGGGGGTGGTCAAGCGCGGTGAAGCGTAATCAATTGCACAGCATTGGTCGCACCACGGATCTTGCCCCGCATAGATTCTCGTTCAAAAATTCGGATCTACCTCCCCTCCCCCCCGGACTTGACCGTTCGCCCTTTCGCATTGCATTTTAAATATGATTCTGCTCCCCCGATCGTCCTGCTTCAATATGAGTTCGTAGCGTCCCGACCCAACCAGCATCGCCCCCCCCGCCCGCCATCACGTGCAAAACTATTATGCGCGCGCTCTCGTTTGTAAGCGACATAAGTTGTCAGTGAGCACGCGCGCGCCGTCGCGCGCGCATGCCGAAATATTGAAAATATCGGTGCCGTGAAGATTTCAAAAACGAATGCCACGAAAATATACAACAATACTTGGTTTTACAACCCGAATTGTCAAAACAAGTTTGCGTCCGCGTTCTTGCGAATTCTCACGAAACCATAGGTCTTCAACGCTTCATAACAATACTGCCAACTTGGCCTTTCCCGCGCGCGCGTCGAAATCGTTCGAACGCCCGTGCGCGCGCGTTTTCGCAATAATCCCTTGCAAACAATGGGACGAAGTGCGCGCGCGTCGTCGCGCGCGCATGCCAAAATCGTTGAATATTTTCGGTTGCTGAAAGGTTTCCAAATCGAGTGGCACGAATACATATAGAAGCACATGATTTTGCAACCTGAATTGTTAATCAAATTGCGCCCGTTGTTCTTCGAATCCTTACGACATTGCCACGACATTTGTCCACATTGGCCTCTGGCGCGCGCGTGTCGAAATCGTTCGAACGCCCTTGCGCGCGTGCTGTCGCAAGAATCCCTTGCAAGAAAACGGGGCGAAGTGCGCGCGCGCGTTGTAGCGCCGTCATCCCGAAACCCGGGGAAAACTGTATTTGTAAGGATTTCAAAACCCAGGGGCCCGAATCCATAAAAAGACACGGTTTTCCAACATCAGTTTTCGAACCATTTTTCGCTCGGGTTCTTGCGGCTTTTGAAGAAAGCCATAGGTTTTCCAACATGTGCATCAACTAGAAATCATTCGAACACCCTTGCGCGCGTGCTGGGGGGGGCACGATCCGTGTAAAATAATACCACGCGGGCGCTCGCGCGAGTCGGCCGCGTGCGCATGTCGAATTTCTTCAAAAACCTCCATCGCCGACGCGAGGACATCGTCATCGTTATCGGTGGGCGTGATCAACATCGGCGCTGTCAGTGGCCTTGCCGTCGTCATCGCCACCATCGTCACCTTCATCGTTACTTTCATAATCGTGTCTATGGTTGTCGGCGTCGCCATGATACCGCGCCCGACCAAGTCACCGACTTGCACTGCGCCACCGCGGCAGCGTCGGTTGCGCCAACTAGCTGGCCGCCGCGCGCGCCGGCATGCGCGGGCTAGCGCGCCCGCAGAGATGCACCAGCCAACGCCACGCAATCATCGCAATCGCCGCCGCATGGGTTTTGCAAACTAAGTTGCGGGTGGGTGGGTGGGAATATTGCGCGAGCAGTGGAGTTGACAACTCACTGCGAACATACATCAACGGCACCACATAGATTGCACCACATATTTTGCACCACGTCGGTTGCACGACATAGATAGCATTGCGTGGATCGCACCACTTAAGTCGCATCACGTAGATTTTCCTTTCTAAAAGGAGAATAGACTCTACCCCCACCCCCCCTCGGGCTTATCAGCTCCACTTTCGGGTTGTAAATCATATATGTTTCTGACCACTCGTCCATCCTAAATATGAAATCGTATCATTCCAGCCAGGCCGGGGTCCCCCCCCCCTGAGGTTCCTTCGTAAAACAAAAAAAACTATGCGGTGACATTTTTTGTTCTAACATAACACTTGTTCGCGAATCCCTTGGACAAAAATTGGACGAAATGCGCGCGCGCGCGTCGTCGCGCGCGCATGCCAGAATCCTTCAAAAACCCTCGATGCCGGAAGGATTTCGCAATCGAGTTTCCAAAACAAACATACAAAAACACATGGTTTCGCAACAGTGATTTGCTAAAAAAGCTTCCGCGCGAGCTCTTGCGAAATCTTAAGAAAACCATAGTTTTTTTTTCTCAAGATTTTCACAAAATGCTACCAAATTGGCTTCGCGCGTGCATGTCGAAATCTGTCGAACGCCCTTGCGCGTGTGCCGTCGCGAGAATCCTCAGCAAAAAATGGGACGAAGTGCAGACGCGCGTGTCGTCGCGGGCGTACGTCGAAAACCTTCAAAACCCATCGGTTTCGGAAGGATTTCAACATCGTGCGTCCAAAAAACCTACAAACACCCAAGGTTTCGCATCACGCATGTTCAACAAAAGCGTGCGCGCGCGCTCTTGCGTCGTCGTCGTCGTCGCCGTCCTCCCTCCTCCCGCGTCGCCGTCGTCGTCGTCGCCTACGTCGTCCTCTGTCTTTCCTCGTGTTCGTCGTCGTCGTCCTCTTTGGCGTCGTGGTCGTTTCCGTCGTCGTTTTCGCCGTGGTCGTCCTTCTTCCTCCTCCCTCGTCGTCGTCGTTGTCCGCCGTCGGCGTCTCGTCGTCGTCCCTCCTATTTCGTCGCCGTCGTCGTCGTCGTCGTTGTCGTCGTCGTCTTCCCTCCTCCCTCGTCGTTGTCGTCGTCGGCGTCGCCGTCCTTCCTCCTTCGTCGTCGTTCGCGTCGCCGCCGTCCTCCCTCCTCCCTCGTCGTTGTCGTCGTTGTTGTCGTTGTCGCCGACGTCGTCCTTCCTCCTCCCTCGTCGTCGCGTTCGTTGGCGTCGTCGTCGTCGTCTTCGTCGTCGTCGGCGTCGGCGTCGGTGTCGTCGTCGAAGTCGTCGGAGACGTCGTCGGTGTCGTCGTCGTCGTTCTCGTCGGTGTCGTCGTAGTCGGTCTTAAGAGGTTTTGCAAACCAAGTTGCGGGTGGGTGGGTGGGATGTTTGCGCGAGCAGTGGAGAGGACAGCTTCAAGACGGTCAAAGATTAATGGCACCCCGTAGATTGCACCACGTAGACTGCACAACACACACGGCTAGAAACACATTGTTTGGGGTTCACGATGGGTACCACATGTAGGTATATACAGGCATTAATGTATATGTTGACGTTTGTTCGCATGCAGAAAATGTGTATCATATGCTGATGTTTGTACCTGCTCACATGTACCTACATTTTTGTTTGCCAACGTCCTCGAACAATCCGAATTCCAATCTGAGCACCCAACGGCGTGCATATTCTAACGGACAGTGCCGACGCCGTTTGCAGCCATGCGGAAGTACCTGCGCGTGGTGCAATCCATGATCGACAGATTTGAGGGTCGGCATTGGCAGAGTCTGGTGCACGTCGAAACGTGATTAAGTCCAGCGCCAAGTCCAGGGCAACCATCGGGACATCCAGAAGTACAACCATCGGGACAACAATCGGGACAGCCATGGTCCCAACCGCGGGGAAAACCATCGGCACGACCATCGGGACAACCATTGGGACAACCATTGGATCAACCATCGCCACGACCATCGGGACAACCATCGGGACATCCAGCGGATCAACCATCGGACAAACCACCGGGGCAATTATCATGGCAACCAGCAGGACAGCCTTTGGGACAGACATCGGGACAATCAGCAGGACAACCAGCAGGACAACCATCAGGGCAACCGCGGGACAATCGCGGGACAACTCTTGGCACAACCTGTCGCGCGGGGACCCGACGCATTTTGGCGTGACTTGGCAGAAGCTCACCATGCTTCGCCTTGCCCGCACGCATTACATGAAACGAAGCGACATCGACTTCCTGGTTTGGGTCTCCGTTCCACTCCAGTCTCAGCCCCCAAATTTCCGATCCATCCCGACTCAATGTTCTTCGGTGTCTTGCCCGCGCGCGTCGCGCAGGCCCCTACGAGTGTATCCTGGGGGACCGCGAGAAATGCAGAAGCGCGCGCACTTGCCTCTTTCTATTCGTCCCTCCCAGCCTCCAGCCCGCTTCTCACATGAAGTGGTACAGGTGATGCTTCGCTTCGCTAGGCCCCATCCATGTTCTTCAGTGTCAGCACGAGTGTATAGATGTTTTTGAGCCGTGGCTCTGCTCCCTCACAGAATGCTTGACGTTTTCCGCTCGTGTGTGGCGTGAAGTGGATGGGTGCGGTGAGAACATCTCTTGTGCATAGTTGGTCGCCTCCCTTCCGACGGCAGGATGATGATGATGAGGAGGAGGAGGAGGAGGAGGGGGAGGGGGCGTCTGCATCACAATAATGTTGCACGTCGGCTGGAAGGCCAGAGGGCAGTGCCCTGGCAGCGCTGAAAATCGATCGTTCCTGGATGCACTCGTGCATGTGTTGAGAAGCCGTCTGCCGCCCGCCGGCTGCGCATCGTCGAATTCTTCGGCGCCTGAGCCTCCCTTCTTCTTCTCGGCCTCCCCCCTCCCGCCTTGCACGCTGGCCAATTCGCCAGTTGGTGCCCCTGCCTAGCTGTTCGCTGGAGCGGATTTCGCCGCCTCGCCGCTGACGAACAAAGTGTTGGGAAGCCGTCTGCTCCACTGCCGCTCCTTGGTTCACTTAGCCGTGCTTTCCGCAGTTGATCCCAAGAGTGGAGACCCAGCGGGATCTCGCACCAGGCATGCGCGGGACACGCAGATGGAAGCACTGTGAAGAAGGACGAGCTCACATTCTGAGAGATCCCATCATTGTTTGAGAGGGTCTCTCAGAATGTGGGCTCGGTCACAAGATGGCTTTTGGAACGACAGAGCCGGGAGACCACCCGATCTGCACCTTCCTGGCTCAGGCCCTTTTGGTTTGCTCATGCTTGTTTGGGGGAATTTACCAGGCATGTCCCTGCTACCTTGGCCATCCCTGCTTCTGGAAACCAACCTCAACCTAACCTGCTCTACCTTGGCTGACCTTGCCTGCCGCTCATACGCTCTCGACGCGTGCCCCGATTCAAAGTCAGTAGATCCTTGCAGGTCGGGTCGTTGAATCCGTATGTTCCTTTGTCTGGAGTCCTGGGGACCGCTGTTACGAGGTCATGCTTTAACCAAAGCGCACTCTCCCACCCCAATGGCCTCTTCTTCTATGTTTCGGATCTGGCCATGCGGTCTGCATGGGCAGTTGCGCCAGCACGGGCAGTGGCAGTGCCCTTGCACACCGTGGGCTTGCACCGTGGATTCACCGGTAATGGGAGGGCGTCCCGCATCGCCAAAGGGCATCCAGGTAGCAAATATGAGCCAACCTCGACTGCGCTGGTTAGTGTTGTTGTGCGGCCTCATTGATGCAGCTGCGGGGATGTGTAGCATGATACCCGTCTCTTGAGCTTTGTCTTCTGCAGCACTGAGAAGAAACTTTCGTTGCCAAGGTTTCTGCGAAAATGGCGTCAGCACGTAGCGTTACCACAGCAACGATGTCTGACTGCATGGCTGTACGTGAACCTGAACGAAATGCTGGTGAGGGGTCATCGTGTCGTCAGCTTCGTTTAAGCTCGCGCGTGTGTACTCGACCGATGCTGCGCAATAATGCGCCACTGTTGCGCTGCCAGTGACATGTTTTACGAGGGCCGTCGCAGCATTACGCGCATTCCGAAGTGATTTCGTGTGGGTGAGCGTCTGGACGCGACTGATGTGGGTCTGAGTGTTGGTCTGGATTGGCAGGCGATGCCAACATCCAGAGGAAGTTGTGGCAGAGTTAAGATCGCGTGCCCGCCTCAGATACATTTCGCGAGTTTGTGTTCTATGATACGGAGAACTTGTTCGCCGAGTACATCATTAACTACAAGCGAGTTTGGACGTGACAGCCTGTTCCTCCGATTTCAATATGCGTCTGCTGTGGTACAGTGCAGTTGCTCCTTCATTTTCGGTGTGCCGCGCTAGGCGCAACTTTCATGTATGCTATGCGCCGCCCGGCGATGGAGCGGCTCGCCATCGTGCTGCGTGGTATCGTGCCAGGTACGAGGGTGGATGAACACCTAAACGGACCCTCTCGGCAAATAAGGACATTGAAGGATATTGAAGGGTTGGGGCTGCGTAACCTAACATCGTGTCCGACATTTTCGGTATTTCCGAACCCAGCCCAGCATGGTGTACATTTCGTTGAACGCGTTCATCTCCTCTCTATTGTGCAACGTTGCTTCCGCATATGTTAAACTCAGCTTGCCTTCTATGCGTCCCCATTGTTCTCGCGTATGGTTTCTTTTTGGACACTGCCTACTACCGCATACGGACCATCTTTGGGGCATCTTGGGGCGATCTTGGGGGCCTCTTGAGCCGTGTTGGGCGGTCGGAAGCCCGAACAAGCGAGAATGCGAAACTTTATCGCGGACGGAAGGGAATACAATGATTTTGGCATCTTGGGCCCTCTTCAGAGTTTTCGTGGATCCCTCTTGAGCCTCTTGAGCAGTTTGAGGCCATCTTCGGCGTATCGGGCCGCTCTTGGGCCGCCTGGAAGCCTTTTTGGACCATCTTGAACCTTTTGGTGGATGACAGGGTACCCCATGGATTTCCATATTGGGTCCTTGCAGGGATCCCCTGGCAAGCCCCATATCGTTTTCATTGTCTGTTAGTTGTTGATGCCGGCCCAGAGGTGTTCTGGTTTTGTGGCCACAGGATACGGTCCCTCCTCGAATACAGAACCACGTGTTGTTAGACGGCGTGATTTTCTACGGCTCTCACCAAATGCGGTCATAGTCCATCATCGTACTGTGCTGATTGTGCCATGTGTTGTCAGAGGGTAGCCTCCGCCTGTGGATTTCTCCATGCGTGGTTGCAGAATAATCATCCTGGATACTTTCCCATGTGGGGCCTCATGGTAGGGTCACACACCGATGTCTGATTGGATTCCGTATTTGCCATCTTCTCATCCGGGTTTCCTATGGTGTTCAGGCGGCGGCTGCCCTTCGCAGGAACTATCACCTGGTTTCCCGCCCCTGTGCAGTTCACCTTTTTGGGCCAGACGCCTCCCTCGTTCATGCCTTCCCTCTCTTTTGCACTCCTCCGCCGCCGCCATCTCCTCCTCCATTCCATTCCTTACAGATAACTCCTCCCTGTCGCACCCCGAGGCTGGTCGAAAGGGCGAGCCGGGAGTTTCGTTTGAGAATTTCTTACCATCTATGATCTTGAAGCTTAGAAGATGTGAACAGTTTCGCATATGGAGGGCGGGCGGTTTCCAACATGTCGCTTTCGCCTTAGCGCCGCGCGCATTCGTTCACAAACATTGCACGAGCCCCACGGATTGAGGACGGGTCGTTTTCAATCTGTAGTTCTCACCTTAGCTCCGTGCACGCTCGCTGTAAATATTTGCAAGAGGTTCACGGATTGAGGGCGGGCCGTTTTCAAAATGTGGGCCTCACTTTCGCGCCGCGCGCGCTCGTTGGAACAATGTGTAAGCGCTTCACGGATTGAGGGCGGGCCGTTTTCAAAGTATTACTCTCGCTTTTTTGCGCCGCGCGCACCCGATTTAAACATTTACAGGAGCTTCACGGATTGAGGGCGGGTTGTTTTCAAAATTTAGTTCTCACTCTGGTGCCGCGCACATGTCTTTGAACAGCTAGCAGGAGCTTCACGGATTGAGGGCGGGCCGTTTTCAACATGTGGCTCTCGCCTTGGCGCCGCTCACACTCGGTTTCAACATGTGCAAGAGCTTCTCGGATTGAGGGCGAGTCGCTTCCAAATTGTGGTTATCGTCTTAGTGTCGCACCCAGTGGTCTGAACATGTTGCAAAAGCTTCATGGATTTAGGGCGGTTCCCTTTCATGTCGCGGCTCACTATAAGCGCCGCGCGCATTCGTTGTAACATGTTGCAAACGTTTCATGGGTTTTCATGGTGAGCGTATCAGGAATGGTGTGTTTGAAAGACTCCGCATTGTCGGGGCGCAACAATTACGTTGATCCGCGGTGTTGAATTCCCAGGACAGGTGTTCTGGCACGGTTCACGATCGCCAATACGTAACACGTTTCAGGATTTTCGCATGGTTGTCCAGCAGCAGGGCTGTTCCCTCAGTGGAGAAGACCCTCGGTATGGACCCATGAAGAGTGAGCTCGGAGGCAATGTTGATTCCAGCATCATTGATGAGCCTTGGGTTTGCATTGGTCCTCCTCATCCTTCTCCTCCTCCTCCTCTTCCTCCTCTCCCCTCATCCGCCTTCAGTGTAAAGAACCCCCCCCGCCACGTGTGCAAAACGATGTGGCAAACCCTGCAACTGCCATTTGGGGATCCAGCTCGTCTAGGGCGCCCGACTCGGAGAATTGATGATGCTTCAACGAAGTGGTATGGAATGGGCAGATGGTTAGGATGTCAGGTGCGGTGCGGTTGCGCCCAGCTTTCCTCTCTCCTTCCCCCTCTCCTGCCTTTCTTCTCTTATCCCGGCTATACTACATTATCTCGCAGCGTGACTTCTCTATTTATATATACGTGTATACCTATATGTATATATCTCTTTCTCTCTTTCACTCGCTTTGGCCGATGCCTTACGCATCATCTCCACAACGGCTCAATATGAGCACTACTCTCCCGTCTCCCCGGACCGCATCGTAGCTTCCAACCATCACTCCCCCGTACATATCTGCCCACTTAGGACGTCAAGAGATGATGCCATGTACGCGTGTTCCGCCGGAAACGGCGAACCTCTTCGGCCGTCGTAGCAGAGTTTGTGTAACGGTGACGCGCGCAAGCCCGTACGCTGTGCATCAGCCTGTGATTGATGCCATTCCCGCGACCCATCTTGCGATGGGGTGTTAGAGCAGTGCATGGCAATGTCGATGCCTGCGCTTCCACGACGGGGTAAGAATTTGTATGCACCCACCGTCCACGAAGCTTGGGTGGCACTACAGGCAGGTGCCCAGACTATTGTATCGAATGCAGACGCCTACCGCGAGAGTCACCGCCGCCACCCCTTTGGAAATGCACGTGCGGCCCAACGTTTGGCCGACGTCTGGCCACGCTGTTGGATCACGTGTTTCCCCAGCCGTCGTGGAACCCTGCGGGGGAACACTTGGGAGAGGAAGGAAGAGGAGGAGGAGAGGGAGGAGCTGAGAAGGAGGACAATGAGGAGGAGGAGGAGGAGGAGGAGGAGGAGGAGGAGGAGGAGGAGGAGGAGGAGGAGGAGGAGGAGGGAGGAGGGAGGAGGGGAGGGGGAGGAGGGGGAGGAGGAGGAGGAGGAGGAGGAGGAGGAGGAGGAGGAGGAGGAGGAGGAGGAGGAGAAAGGACGCGCGCGGCCCGGTCGGGCATGCGAACGTCTAAAGTGAGCAAAGGAAGGACGAAGGAGGACGATGAAGAAAAACAGGATGGTACCTCTTGAGGCCCCCTTGGGGGCTCCTGGGGGCCTCCTGGGAGCCTTCTAGGGGGCCTATGAGGGGCGTCTTCGGGGCCTCCTGGGGGCCTCCTGGGGGCCTCTTGGCAGCCTTCTGGGGGTCTCTTGGCAGCCTTGGGGGCTTCTTGGTGGCCGCGCCGCCTCCTGTGGCCTCTTGGCAGCCTTTCGGGGGTCTCTTGGAGCCTATAAGGGACATCTTGGCCTTCGGAGGCCGCCTCGGGGCCAACTCTGGTCAGTCGTGGATGTCTGTTTGGGCGCGCTAGGGCCGTCTCTGAGGTCTGTAGGGCCTCTGGGGCCGTCCTGGAGGCCCCTTGGGTCGACTTGGGGCCGTCTTTTGCTGTCTGGCGGCCTCTTTGGGGCCCTGGGGTGCCTCTTGGGCCATCCGAAGGATATCCTGGGCCGTGCTGAAGCCATATTGGCCGTCTTAGGAGCATCTTGCGCCGTCTTGAACACATATTTGGGTCATCTTGGGCTTCTTGAGGCCATCTTGGCCGTCTTGGGCGAACTTGGAGGTCATCTTGCTTCATCTAGGCCGTCTTGGAGTCGAGCGTTGTGCATATGTTCGGTCGTCTTGGGCACGGTGGCGCGTCAGGCCGCCATCCCACTGGGAACTATTCGGAAGGTCCGAACATATCGGGAATTTAGAACGCCGTGCACCCCAGTGGCAAGCACAGGGGGCGGCGGATGGAAGACGCCTTCGGCGAATCTCCGCCGCCCCCTGCCTTTTGGAAACGCCCATGCGGCCAAACGTTGGGCCGAAGTCTGGCCAAGCTATTGGATTATACGCTCCCCCAGCCGTCGTGGAACCCCTTGGGGGAACTTTTTGGCGAAGAAGGGAAAGAAGGAGGAGAGGGAGGACAATGAGGAAGAGGAGGAGGAAGAAGAAGAAGAAGACTATCAAGAATAAGGAGGTGAAGAACAACAGCAAGAAACACATAAGAAAAGACCTCTTGAAGCCCTCTTGGGGCCCTATTGGGGCCTCCTGGGAGCCTCCTGGGCGCCTCTTGGGGACCTCTTGGAGCGAGCCCGGCAGGAGCCTCTCGGCCTTCGGAGGTCGTCTTTCGGCCCTCTCTGGGCAGTCGTCGGTCCTACTTTTGGCGCTTTAGGGCCGTCTTTGGGGTCTCCGGGGCCGTCTTGGGGCCCTGTTGGGCCGTCTTGCGGGCCTCTTGGGGGCCTCTTGGGCAGTGGGGGGGCGATCCCGGGGGCCAATCGGGCTGTCTTGGAGCGTCGGAAGCCGAGCCAGCGAGAACGCTAAACTCATTGACCAACCTGAAAAAACAATGATTGTTGCTTCCTGATGGTTCTCTGGGAGCCCTCTTGGGGCGTCTTTGGGCCCTCTTGGGCCATCTTGGGCTGTCTTGGGATCTTAGGCTGTCGCGGAAGCATCCTCGGGCCATATTGGGCTGTCTTGGGACCATCTCAGCAGTCTTGGAGGCCATCTTTCCCGTCTTGGATCTTCGAGTCCACCTTGGGGCCATATGAGGGGGA